CAGAAGGGTCGCCCGTATAGATAGGTGTGAAACTTTTCACATCCATATACTACAGCAAGTAGTTCGCGTTCGATATTTGCGTATCGGGTTTCGGCTGGTGTCAGAGCTTTAGATGCGAAGGCGATTGGTCTGTTGTCTTGTAGTAGCACTGCTCCTATGCCCTTGGATGAAGCGTCAACTTCAAAAATGACTGGTTGCTTTTGGTTATAGTATGCGAGTGTTGTCTCGGTGCTGATAGGGCTCTTTATTTTATCGAAACACTTTGTGTGTGTTGGCGTCCAAACGAATTCTGAGTTGTCTTTGATGAGTTCTCTCAGTGATGCTGTGTGGTCTGACAGCTTGGGTATGAATGGACCCATGTATGTTACAAGACCAAGAAATGTTCGTAGTTCTTTCTTGTCATTTGGGGGCTGCATCATTTCTATGGCTCTGACTTTGTCTGGACTTGGTTTAACTCCTTCAGCGGTGTATAGCATACCATAGAAATTGCATTCTCTGCTTTTTATGTGACATTTATCTCTGTTTAGTTTTATGCCTGCCCGTCTGGTGTCTTCCATAGCTTCATGTAGATGTAAGTCATGGTCTGTTTCATTTGAACCATATACTTGTATGTCATCTGCTATGCCTATGGCTCCTTTGCAGTTGCGATATACTTCGTCAACTTTGAACTGGAAAACGTCTTGACTCATGCGGAGTCCAAATGGCATTCGTAGGATCTGTACCGACCAAATGGAGTGTTGAATGTTGTTAGTACTGATGACTCCTCATCTAGTTTAACATTCCAATATCCGTTCCGGGCATCGAGTTTACTGAACCGTTTTGCACCAGTCAGCTTATGTGTGATTTCTTCAAGTGTTGGTGTAGGGTGGTGTTCCTGCTTGATTGCAGTGTTCAAGTCTTTGGGATCCAAGCACAGTCGTAATCTGCCATTTTCTTTCTCTCGAATGACAAGCGAGTTAACCCAATCAGTAGGTTGGTTAACTTTGGTAATTATATTTTTGTTTTCCATCTCAGTTAGTTCCGTTTTGAGTCTGTCTCTGAGCTCTATTGGTATTCGACGAGCTGCATGTACTACAGGTGGTACTTTTGGGTCTAAAGTGATGTGGTAGGTATAGTTTTCAAAACATCCAACTACATTATCGAAGCAGTCTGGATACATCTGTAGTAGATGTTCCTTGTCTCGTATCGGTGGACGATCTTTTAGAGGTATGTCGCTATCAATGTAGTTGGGGCTCTTCTGTGCTGTTTGTTTTGCTGCATTTGTTGTATGTTTACTTTCTATAGCACAATGTAATGAAATAAGGTTAAGTGCTCTGCATGCTTTTAGGCCTAGAATGGCAGGACCTGTTGCATCTGTCACATAGAAAATACAGTTAATTTTCCTTCCTCTGTGTTGACAAGGGATTGTTATTGTTCCCAACTGTTTGATTTGCGATCCTCCATATGCTGATAGAATCATGTTTGTTCCTTGTAATGCATTTGGTTTGGGGTTGCCTTTACTATCTATTTTATCTGGAAAGATATTACGAAATAGACGCAATGGGAGTACATTGCTCTGGGCGCCTGTGTCAACTTTGCATTTCAGGTTTATTTTCTGTGTCAGTTCAGCACGTTCAATTTGCAGTAATGTATACACTTCCTCTCGGTTGTCATTTGCATGAATAGTTCCTATTGTCAGGGTTTCTTCTTCTGTCATATCTGTGTTGTACCCTATATCATGTATCTGCTGTCTATTACGGCGTTGTGTTGGACGATTTTGTATTTTCTTTGATGATTTGCATACTGATTGCCAGTGGTTCATTTTTCCACACTTGTGACACTGAGATCCATACGCAGGACAATTTTTCCGTGCAGAAATGTCATGCGTTTTCCCACAATTGTTACATATTTTTGTCTGTTGTTGTGGCTTGTAGCTTTGTGGCTTGCTATACTTTTTGATTGTATTCACAGATTTATTTGGTGAGGAATAGTCCTGGTTACTTGCAAGCAATCGCATTTGTTTGTTTGTTGCCTCAAAACTGCGGGCTACATCTATCGCATCTTTGAGTGTAAGCTTCTCATTTCGCCCAATCAATTTCTTTTGAACATCCGGGTGACACGAACCCCATATTAGTTGATCTACTAACCTTTCTTCCATTTCTTTGTCAGATTCCAATTTGTATTTGGCTGCAACATTCTTTAATTTTGACATGAAGTTGTCCACTGTTTCTTCTGGTTCTTGTCTCATGTGCTGAAACTGGTACCTATGTATGCGGTGGTTAGACTTGGGTTCAAGATGCTGCACAAATTTTTCCAAAATTTTGTCAGGCTTCTTCCTGTCATCTGCATCATCAAAATTCCAGCTGTTGTACATATCAAGGCCTCTCTCTCCTGCCCATAACAATAGATAGCTAGCCTTTTCTTCATCAGTGGCATTCTTCAGTGCACTTTTGAATGTTAATTCGCATTTTTGTCGGAATCGAGCAAAGGCTATCACTATATCAGGTGCTTCCCAGTCCATC